TATATATATATCCCGCCAGATTCGATTATCAATTATCACTAAGTAAGTCGTGGAGGCTTGGGTTCCAGTTGGCTCGGCTCAGTCGGATAGATAAATTCAACCATAAATCAAACAACAAGAATCTCTATTAACTTTACAAAGGATAGATATAATTTATTTAAATGGGGGATTACAAATGAAGGGATTCGAAAACGGGAAAACTTAAAACTAACTTAAAAACTACTCACGTGATTTGACGACATGGTGCACACTATATATTTAGCGAATTGCGATTGTTTCTGAATCCAAAACTAAAGTTCAGGCGAGACAAAATATTCTGGGGAATCCGATCCAAATCTTGAATGAAACAGGAAATGATGTAAAGAAAGTCCAATATACAGAAATTAGCACGGTAGTATTGATCTTTCTTTTATAATTGAATTTTTACTTTGCCACAAATAGGCCAATTGAATTTAAAAAAACTGAATGCTTTTGAGAATGTTACACAAATTCGTAAATCGCCCCCCCCCCGACCCTACCGGGGCCCTTAGGCAGGCCTCTGGACCTCACGCCCAGAGAGCCCCCCTTGAAATGACCTGGCTACGGGCCTGATCTAGTTTTCTTAATTCCTAAGAAACGTAATATTTATAGATTGTTTAACTTATATTTTATCTATTATTATTATTATTATTATTATTAAAAAACATTTATATAGCGCCTTTACAAAAAAAAGATCAAAGCGCATCAGTCAAGTATAGGTAAAAACCACTAAAAAACTACTTTCTAGAAAAAAGATGTGTTTTTTAAAAGATTGCACACTGGGGGCCTGGCGGATATCATAGGGGAGATTATTCCATAATTTTGGACCATTCACAGAAAAAGCACTTTCGCCAAAAACTCTTTTTGTAAAGGAATCTACAAGGCGTAGTGGATCATCAGAGGACCTAAGACCTACACGACCAAGCTGAAACTTTTGAAGAATATCTTGAATATATGTTGGACTTATTTTATGAACATTATCTAATAAATATATATTATTAAATTTACAGCCTAGGGCGGTATACTTACTTTACTTCTATAACTTTACAAGACTGACATTCTGATATAATTAACGTCAAACTCTATAGTCTAAGTCTTATTAAAACAGAGACGAGGGGTCTAAAAATCAAAATTAATTAGAATGAAGAATTTAAAATACCGTACTATCAACTTTGTCATTTTTTCTCTTAATTACGATGATAGGTTATTTTGCCATATTGTCGTTTATTGTCATCATTTACTCCATCTTCAAGCTGACATCCAGCATCATCGATATGAAATCCCTGGCACTCTGTCTGTCGCCGACATCGCATCGCGCATCTCATGTACGAAGCATCCATAGGCCTAGTTACTCCACGATTCTCCACAGATTGGAAATAAAGCGGAAGGTCTATAAAGGAATAATAAAGTTCACGGCTTTACACACGCACACATGTACGTCCCCACGCATAGTATACCGTACTACATTTTGCAACTCAATTACAAAATAGTTTGGAGGTTCAAAATGTAAGAATGTTTAATATTGATTTAATTTATATATACCTATACATACATACATAAATATATATATTCTGTAAAAAATGATAATCCAATTTAGCTTTTATGAAGCGTAGGCCTAGGCCTAGCTAGGTTAATGATCAAAAGTACAGTACAAGCATATCCTTCAATTGTAAAAACAATATTAATCATACTTATATTATTTCAAATTATATGTCAAACACATCCATGAATCCTTCAATGTAAAAATTAATCCAAAGCTTCCTTTTATAAATAAAACTGTAAAGTTTTGTACTACTGTAGCATACATGCTGTACCAATAATGTCTCTGCACTGAATGAACTTGAAACTGTTGTGTACGCTGTGTATCACCTGTCTCTTATACACATCTAGATGTGTATAAGAGACAAGGCCTAGGCCTACCTGAAATTCGAAGTCTAAAGTTTGTTTTGCCTTGATGGACTGATAGAAACATTCTCGTCTACCAGCTGGTACAAGAACAGTCATATCAATTTCAAAACTTGAGCATATTCTAAATAAATATGTGACGACTAGTCCGAAAAATGTTAGTTTGTCCTTCATCTTGAAAACTCTACATCAGAAGGGCAAAACTAGGTACGTGGCATTCTGTCTCTTATACACATCTAGATTCAGACAAACAGTCAACACTAAACAAAAGAACCGAGCTATTGTCTAAATGCAGGCACAGCAACAAATACCTACTTAAAAACAATTAACTCATTTGCATTTTCACCTGTCTTAGCATTCATATACTTGCACAACCCTTGTATTCTCTCACTCCTGAAGATTGCATTAGCATGAAACAGTCTGTAGAGTGATAATACCCAGTTCTACAAGTTCTACATTTTCAATACTTTCAATATATATATATATACATATATATATATATATATATATATATATATAATAGCAATATACTTGTAATGGCAAAACAAATTATATGGACATTGAACGCACAGGACTCAACAGTTGAAGTAAACATGTTGGCCTAGGCAAAGGGCCTAATCATCATGATTTTCTTTATGGAGAAAATTCATTTCGATTCAAAATACTTTATGAGAGCTTTTTGGATAAATATTGTAAATAATTATTTCAAACAATTTAAATTATGAAAGATTGAATACATTTAGATTTTAATTTCAATTTCAATATTTCAATTTCAAGTTACCAGAGTTTAAATTATAATTAATAACATTCGCACAAATCAACCAACACAACTTGTAGAAAACTGATAGGCCTAATCAATTAATAATATCAAATATAAACTTAATATATTTTAATTCACAACACTTACTTAGTACCACTTACCAAATTCACAAATACATCCATAAATATCGATTTTGGTAGCACGTTTGTCATTGAGGCCATTGTAACCATTGTCGATCTGTATCCGAACCCCGACAAGTTTACTATCGATGACATTAGGTTGACTTGAACCCCATGGAGTAATAGAAGAATCAAAAGCCTCTCCTGTTTCCCACTTCCAGTTTCCGTCTACATGCCGATCATACCCCGCCTGGCGTGATAAACCGACGGCATAGGAACTGGCTGGAAAGTCCTTCATGTACTCCAGGACATAAGCTAGTTCATCGGCGGTTGTGATGCTTGCAAGGTATCCACTTGATGATTCACAAATATTTTTGAGATACAACCAGGAATGTGGTTCTTCATAATGTCTCACAGTGTACTGATTCTGCAACTTTGAATAGCCTGAAAAAAAAAATTAAACACCTTCATCAGTCACAATTATTATAGGTCTAGGCCTATTTGATTACTATATATATAAAATAATATAAGATATATATAGTTAATGATATACAGATTAGGTTTAATTACTGGATTTATTAGGGACGTGTTTATTTATTTTTTTATGTGTAAAATGGACATGTATACTCAGCCCCAACCCCTAAACCTTTTCAACATTTTATATTAAAAAATTGGTTTAAAAAAATATATATTCAAATTCAAATCTGAGAGTGCCATTTTCGACCATCTAGACTGAGGTTACTGTAACTGATGTAGCATAGCCGTCTTCTTCGGAAGACACATGGCCGTCATTGATGGCATCCGTTGACAAAATCACGGATGGTGCTATAACCATACAATTAAGGTGCGGCTGAGGTGGTGTAGGTAGACCCTTCATTTGTGAAAGTCCCTCAGAGTGACTCGACCCCATCTATTCCGAATTCCTGGATCCGAATAGTCACTTTGCCACTTAGCTACCCTCACGTAATCATCAGCACCCCCCACCCACTTCACATTCACTCTTCCATCTCCCCTCCTCCTCCGTCAGCATCTGGTGAAGAGAATCTCAGAATAGACTAGGAAAATAATTTAGACGGATGAGAAGATCGTGTCAGCTAGGTGAAAGTGATTCACAGTTACTAGAGTGGTATTTGAAACACCCGAACTATTCTATTATGATTAGTGTGCGTGTGAGCGAATGAGGGATGGTAGTTTAAGTATGTGGAAAAATTGTCTTTAAAGAAATTAATTCTTATTTTTTTTTAAACTTATATAATTATCTTGACTCTTTGTCGAACACCAACAGACGCACTCAGAGCGATCCCATGATGTTTTTGACAGCCTCTGTGCTAGATCCTGTTCAAGCAGGCGAGGTAGGGCCTACTTCTTCATATTGAGATTGACCTTTTAGTGTGACTCCTCTCCATCTTAATAAAAGTTGAGCATGGCTGGACAAAACATAGTTTGTGTTTCTATTAAAATACAACGACGGTATAATTTGTCTTTTACAAACCATGATTTGTTTTTAAAAAAGACAAATTACTTTTCGTCGAGGTAAAATATGGAAGACACGGAATCATCTTAATTTGTATGGATTGCAGACCTGTCCATATGTAACTGAGCTCACGAATACTAGTTCTTGTATCAATGCTTTACGTTTTATAACGGAACCAATTTGGAGACCAACAGAGATTTATGAGTCAATAAATCAAAAGAGGATGCAAGAGTTCAACCCAACGTCCACCTCCCATTTCGTCGTAGTTTCGGAGAGGAAAATCAGGCTAAGCCAATCCTAGTGGCGTACCTAAAAGTTTTGAAATGAAATGGAGAGGAGGCTCGATTATGTGAGGGGCGCCACCTCGCAAAATAATTTAATTAGGCCTATTTAACAACTTGACCGTGATTTTCTTTGTTTTCAAAATTTCAGTGGGTGGGATTCAATGAGTGGGGGAACCGGGGAACTTAATTTGGACGTGTTCTCCCTGCACACAAAATGGGGTCGCCTAATAAATTAAAAGATCGCAATATTCTTTTAGGATATTTTTTTTAATTGAATATTTTATCAACATTTGCTGTAGAAAAGAAAGCACATTGTAATTATCACTATACTTCAATTTTAACAGCTGACAACCCATTAGAGATGTGAGCAGTGGCGTACCGGTAACTATCGGCGGTTCAGACCTGTGTTTCAGGGGCCCCCGATGTCGAGACCCTTCCTTCATAATAATATATATAAATAACATAGGAATGATCGTAATCAACGTACCCTGTATATATAAACTCTTATATTTGGTCTATCGTATTATAATACAATAGGCCTACAGTCTAATATAAAATGGTCCCAAATAATAAATTATACAGTCTTATGCCTGGGTGTGAAAATTAGTGTTCTATTAGCTATACCTTTACCACCATCTGTCCATGGATGTATACGTGCACGTCTGTCTGTATGTAATACACCATTTCTTTTTAAAAAATCCCTCCATTCACATGAAAAAGCCATGATGGACAAACAATCCTAGAATCTGACAGGATTTGAACCCAGGACACTATGGTTGGAAGGCGAACATTTTAGTACTCACAAAGCTATTCAACTCTACTCCAATATAATAGACTAGAAAATTAAATCTGCTTATAAGGTATTCGGTTAAGACCTAAAAAAATAAACATACTGTATTTGCATATTGTGTATTTACTTATGTAATTAGTAACTCCAGTCTGTTATTCATATTGTATTTTGTATTCAGGGGCGAATTTAGGGGGAATGTAAAAAGGGGAAAAAAGAAAGAAAGAAAAAGAATTATTGATCACCCAAACGCCTCAGAGGTTATTTCCAAGTTGTTTCTATAAAACAAAAACTTCGCGGGGGCATGCCCTCGGACACCTTGGGTAGTGTTGTTTCTCGATCACCCCCTTCCCCCCCTTTCGGACATCTGTGGATTTATTTGTTTGTTTTGTTTATTTCTCCACACACATGCACATACATAACATAAAAAAAGCTTAATAGTAAAACTAAAAATAACTAGACTTACTATGTCTGTTTGTACAACAGAACATTGCTATAATGAGAAATGAAGTTGATAATACTTAATAGCACATAAAAATATAAAGTCGTTAAAAAGTATAAAGTCAAAAAAATGGAAACCCAAAATAGTAATTGTTATTGTCGTGATGGAATAATAGACAATAACTGGATTTGCGTCAGGAGAAAATGTATAGGTGTAATTTTGCCCTACCTGACGTGGAAATGTACCGAATACTCAGTACATTTGAAAACAACTGCGAAAAAAATCGCAAGTTGTTCTCGGGTGGGACTCGAACCCACGATCTAGAGGTATGATGCCAGGCTAGTGATCTGGAGATCGTGGGTTCGAGTCCCACCCGAGAACAACTTTTTTTTTTCGTAGTTGTTTTCAAATGTACTGAGTATTCGGTACATTTCCACGTCAGGTAGGGTAAAATTACACCTATAAACCCAAAATACATACCGACTTAGATTATAAGATTGTAGCCTTTGCTCTGGCTAACAGAGTTCAAGATGTAATTAATTCTATTGTAGATACAGATCAAAAGGACATTAAAGGTCGATTTGGAGGAGAAATTATCCGACTCACGGATGACCTACACTTTTTTTTTTTTATAAGAACCAGTAAAATTTTGCCCAGGCTCAGTGTTCTTATTTTTTGGCCGATTTCAGGCTCAAAATGTTCTTATTTTGTTCTTAGTTTACACACCTTTTAAACAAAAAATTATTCAATTGTACGGCAGTATGCACTGTACTGGAATGTAGGTGAAAGTGACCACACAAAAAATGGCCCCCAAATGTCAGTTTATAGAGGGTATTACAGTCACAACTACTGCACATAATGTACAGATATAATATTTTGGTTTTTAAAAATATAAACCTCCGTTATTTGAAATTTTACCTCAGCCTCAATGTGTTCTTATTTTGTTCTTAATTTTTAAGTAATTTCAACCTCAGTGTTCTTATAAAATGTGTTCTTATATATTTAAAAAAATGTATTGGAATACACAAAAACAACAAATGCCGATGGTGCTCTTATTTCTTTAGATTTTCGAAAGGCTTTCGACGCTTTCGACAGTGTAAATAGGAAATTTATGCTTTCGGTAATTAAACAAATATAATTTCGGTGATTCTTTTTAATAAGTTGGGTGCAAACACTATATGGGGCCAAATGCTGTGTGACAAACAATTGTTGGATGTCCGAATCATTCGTTATGTTCGTGGAATAAGACAAGGTTGCCCCTTGTCTGAATTTCTGTTCATTGTAGTGGAAATAATAGCCACTGAAATTCGTAACATATTAAACTGCCTTTAATAAGAGATGATCAAAACATATAGACACTATGGTACGTACAATCTCATATTGATTAGCTTACGGCTGGAGATCCGACTGACATTTTATATGCTCGTTACTTTTAATAACAGGAGATGTTAGACGTAACCCAGGCCCATTAACATGTCAAACAAGGATGCATGAAATGAATGGTACAAGAGCCGACCATGGTGATCCAATACAACAGATACTAAATGAAATTAAAATATTAAACACAAAAGTAGATAAAATGTCAACCGACATCAAAGGTATGAAAGGAAAAGTAAACAACCTTACAAAAAGCGTAGAAAACCTAACCACAAGATGGAAGAGCAAAATACACAATTGAAAAACAAATACGGAATTATTATTGCAAATAGATAAACTAGAAGCTCAATCTAGGCGAAACAATTTGGTATTTTATGGTATGCCAGAAGAACAAAAAGAAACCTGGAGAGACTGAGAAAACAAAATTCTGCATTACGTTAAGAGACGTTTTGAAAATATTTGATCCGGTAAATACCGCGTCACGGCATCGTCGTTAAGTTTAAAGAAAATGAAACTGTTTTAAATGAAGGATGAGCACGAAAATGAGAATAGGCCCTATGACCAATGAACAACGATAAACACCAAAATGTTAAAGACGATCGAAACCACGAATAAGAACTATCAGGAGAATACTAGCACCGAAAATACAGCTCAGGAAGCTATCGCTAGGAATAAAAGGTTTATAAAAAGGTACGATAAACTATTTATAGGAAATAAAATTTTTCCTATGATACTGTAATGAGAAAATTAAACAGCTAAAATAGGAAATAGGCCAAAGCCCAACAATTACCAAACAGGCTAAGGTTGTAACGTGGAACATTAATGGTTTAGCAAATAAAATTATCTAATGATAATTTTGTTATTTACATAAAACAACATATTTATCTCAAATATGATGGTTAATGAATGAGAATGAATTACCAAAGTTAAGTGGTTATAGTATAATAGTACAGTTTGCTATGTAATCCAGCTAAATTTTTGTGCCAAAATGGATTTTAATGGCTAACTTTATCATTTTTGGTGTGCTGAATTCAAAAAGTTAGGTGCAATTTTTTTACCACGTCATCAGCCGCCATTTTGAATTACAAGATGGTTGACACACCACATACGATTCGGTCATGTTTGGTGTCAATGAAAAGGGAATTATACGATGATCATTTAATTTCATTACACCTATACCTAATAATACATATTTACAGAGATATAGACCAATTAATAAATGACACAAAAGGTCAAAGGTCAAAAAATTAAACTTATCTGAAGTTGTGTTTGGTATCGTAGGAAAGCTCTTTCGATGCTAAATAATATTTTACAGTACTTATATTTCAGAAACGGTGTAGTTTTCCATATATTCTCCCGTAAAGTCCAATTATGGAATACTTTATATTAAAATAAAGAGGATCCAGTTGCGTAACGCTCGTGAGCTCTTAGTGGGTGGTGAGGCCTCCTTCTACTACCACTGTTAAGGCTTGGTGGCAAAGTGCTACGTAGTAGGCCTAGTAGGAGCCCGCCCCACCCCTCTCCCGAGAACTCACAAGTGTTACTCAACTGGGTCCTGTTTATTTTAATACGGGATGCCATAATTGGACTTTACGAGACAATTATGGAAAACTACACGGTTTAAGGAATGAGCTCAATGACGCCTTTCTCATTTCTTGATTGTCCTTATTTTGCGCCCTCATTACTTGTCTCTCTAGAAACTTCACTTCACCTGTTTGCTTATTAACACAATATATAAGACCTTGCCTGCTTAAGTTCTTTCTCAGTTGCTGGTGTGTCGTTGATACGACGAAATATTCAACATTTATTCTTGTGGATTTGTATCACTCATTAGGTCATCTTAATGCTTTTTCTATTGCAATGAGAGTGAAAAATCAAGTTATATTTATTCAACTATATGTATACAAAAACATAAATTGAAATATAATCGCCCCATGTTTTGACAAATTTCATTAAATTTCACAGAGGTTTAAAGCAAGGCTATGTTCTCTACCCTATTTTTTAAATTTCTATTTCTACATGACTTGAAAACTTGCTAAAAGGAAATCATTTTTGTACTATCGATAATAATATCATATCACATTTATTATTTGCAGATGATTTAATTTTGTTTTCATACTCCAGAATTGGTTTGCAGAATTAAACAATTAAACTGCCTTAAAAATACTGCAATACTAACAAAATAGAAATAAATAAATTAGAAACTAAAGCTTTGGTGTTTCGGAATGGAGGAGTAGCAGTAGGAAGAGATAATAAATGGTATGTCGATGGGTTGAAGAATATAAACTAGGTTTTCAGTTTAATTATAATGGAAATTGGAGCATTATGTCAAACGACAAGCAGAAAAGTGGAAAAGAGTATTGTTTAGCGTAAGAAATAAAATGTCAAATTTAGGTTTTACATCTGCAGAAATACAATTACAGCTATTTGAAAGTCAAGTTATTCCAATATTACGGTACTGTACGGGTCTGAACTTTGGGGATACAAAGACTGCAACTATTGGCCTGTAAAAAATGTACATATAAAACATTGTGAATGTGCAACAATCATGTCCAAATGAGGTCTGAGAAATGGGTTAGGTAGAATGCCTATGAAATATTACAAAATTTTAAAAATGATAAATTATCGGTACTGGATAAAAATCAACAAGTAGGAAAATAAAGACTAGGCCTACCAAGTATTTGCTATCAAAAACAAAGATGACAGAAAAGGGCATAAACTGTTGGGCATTCGAAATAAAAAAACATATTAGATGAATTTGATTTTAGTGATAGGCATATATGGAATAATTTAGTTGATGATAACATTTTACCTATTTTTTCATAAAGAATTTTAGATGTAGCATTTCAAAAGGGAAAAGAAATAATTAAAAAAAAAACAATTCACGACTTCAGTTTTATTACAATATTATTAAGCCTGAAAATATATATGAAAATTAGGCCTATGTTTATAATTTAAATCTAAGGTATAGAACAATAATTTCACGCTGTATAATTTGATGATTGAAAAGGGGCGACACATGAATATTGACAGGGAAAGTAGAATTTGTTTATTTTGCGACTCTATAAAGTTTACAAGATTAAATTCATTTCACTTTTGTCTGTCCATTGTATAAAAACATTAGAAAGAAATATATACAACTTAAATACATATTCGTTAAATTACTGCATTGTATAATATCGACAAGGTCACTACTTTTTAAATGGAAACTATCGGCCAATGATTGTTGTTTATTTTGCAATGTAAAAGAAGACGAAATCATTTATTATGAGCGTGCAGAAACGCCAGACACTTCTGGAAGAAAATAAACGAAAGCATTGAACAAAGTTTGATATGCACTGCCATTATTTTTTTAAATAATTTTAGGTACAGAAAACACTTATGTAAACCGCATTATATACAATTGCATTTTTTTGTTTATACAAGTCTGTTTTTCGTAAATCAGCGGAAAAATTGAAATCGATAAAGGCTCTGCTTGCATCTGAAATGTGTATAAGGTCCACATTATTCAGAAAACTATTATAAAATATTATTACACACACATATATATATATATATATACATATACATACATTTAAATATATACATATACATACATACACATAAATACACACACATATGTATGCCCACCCATACATACACATATACCTACACACATTTAATAGAACGTTTAAACAGCTCTCAACCAATTTCATTTCAAAGTCAAAATTGTAAATTGTAAATTGTAAAGGGAAAAACAACACCAATTTCATTGTTATTTACTTATAAATGCTTGTATGTTTGTCTCAGCAGTAAACCTCATTTTTTTTATTCTGATGAAACTACTGTTTTATTAGAAATGTTAACATTAGTTGTATTTTATGTTATTATTACAGTACTGTTCTTTTAAGTGACCGTTGATTTAACACCGAGGGGCCGCAGCAAAACTTTTATGTTTACACTGTGTTTCCAAAAACCTTCATGCACTGCTTTTATACCACTTTATTCTCAGTTTTAACATTAACCTTTTACAGATGATCGGTGTCGGGCAGTAAAAAACAAGGTGTTTTCTGATCAAAAATATTTGGCGGGCCGCACACATAGGGTTTTTAATTCGTTTTCGCGGGCTGCAATAAAAATCACTGTTGGGCCGCATTCGGCCCGCGGGCGCACTTTGTCCACCTGTAGTCTAGAATGATGACTTATACAATATTTTTTGGATGCTACGACGTGTCTAACGAATAAATAAAATGTAGTCTGAAGGCTTTTCAACGTCAGATTTTCGGATGTAAAAAATAAATACCTGTTAATTTTTTGAGAAATGTCTCAAATTATTTTATTTGGTAATTAAAAAAAGTAATTAAAATAATAAAATTTATCAAAATCAAGGTATTGTATATCGGATTCGTAAAATTGGATGATAGGCCTATTTTAATTCACTGTCTGCAATGAAGTTTATTCGAGGATACGTCGTATCTAACGAATGAACACAATAGTTTTGTCAAGGGCATTAGAAGAGTAATACCTTCACTTTGTTAAAAAAAAATGGTAAAATAAAATAAAATAGAATATAATAAAATTCATAAATATTAAGGTATTGTATACCGGTAATAAACAAGAAAATCAGAAATAGTATATCTGATTCATTGTGTAAAAATTATCGAACATATAAAGTTGAGAGAACGTTAAAGGAAATTTATAAAAATAATGAATTAGAGTCAGCCGTAGAGGACTGACTCGTGACTTGTGTGTGCACCAGAAATATTGTTAGTATGCCAAATAATATTTTAAAGACTTTTGTGTCCATATTCAGTGGTGGAGTGGAATAGCTTAGTGATTAAGATGTTTGCCTTCTGATCCCAGGGTCCTGGGTTTAATTCCTCAGAGAGTAGGACTTTTTCTCACGACTAAAAAACAATCACACTCAATAAGCCTCATTATTGGCCATCCTTGGCACATGTGTTGTGTGCCTAAAGAAAGAATAATAATAATAATAATAATAATTAAGCGATTCGGTTATTTAAAGAGGGTTATAGAAGACAACATCACTATCATCCAAAAGCTAATAGAGGACAAGTAAAGTATTTCATGTGCTACAACAGACACAATGCTATATTTTGTGAAACGGGTGCTGTAGTTATAGATAACTAGCTACTACCATTTTTTAAACCGCTATTTAATGCTTGGACCAATCCTGCGCTTTGTCCAACACAGTAACTCCGACAACAGAACCAATTTTCTGAAGGCAAAGAGTAATTTTGAGTCAAAAAATCAAAAGAGGATGCAAGAGTTTGCATTCCACCATAAGGTAAATCGGAAATGCAACCCAAAACGTCCCTTTTCCATTTTGAGGTTGTTTGGTGAGCAAAATCGGGCAAATTCCCCCTAAAACGAACGATTTATAAAATGGCTGGATTTGATGAACAGTTTTAAAAATACCTTCATGTGTGAAGGGGCAATTATAAATAGTAGACCTCTAGCTTCAGGCGATCGAAACGACGAATTGCAGGAAAATTCGAAGTGTGTACGAAATAGGCGTAACCGGTGTAGTTAACTGATATAGTATACTATAGTACACCACCGGTGGCAAAAGTGTAACCACGCTATAACAGACAACCATGGCTAGTTCGTAGTGTGAAATTTTCTAACAAACTTTGCGACGCTTGAAAAACCAATTTCTATAAACTTTACTTTTGGAGGAAATAATGCTATATAATAATGGGTGGGTGCAACCTTAGTGCTGCCAAATATATCAGGTTTAGTAGTTTTGCATATAGCCTTCTATATCTACATAGCTTGACTTACCAAGTCCTCCACAAATTAAACTGAAAGCCACACAGATGCAAGTGAAGAGTAACATTGTTGATATCAGACAGAGGCGTTGATTTTAGAATGACGGAATATCAAAGAGGAACTAAACTCGAATGACAATTCATTTATCGTCTGCTACCAATTTTTTTTTTTTCTTTACCTTTATATTTGATACATTGGTTCTAGTTATTTTATTGTTAGTGTTTATTATTTTTGTTCAGGTTAAATCTAAAATCTAATTCAATATAATAATAATCTGCACGCACGCAACATAATATTGATCAGGTCTTTAACGTACAGAAGAAAACGTGATAAGAAACACGAAGTCATACAATATTCAAAAGAATCTTCATGATGCACTATAATGATAAGAAAAGTAAGGTAAATTTGTAAAGAGTTCCTTTATTCATTTCCATGGCTGGTATATTTTATTCTTTCTTTCTGCACCCGAATGCTTTTATTCAATAAATAGGCCTCCGGCCCTTTAATAAAACATAAATACAAATTAAGTGATGCCGATACTTGGAGTATGTATATTTGAGATTAATCAGTGGACCTTTCGGTTTCTGGTAAATTAAGTGGGGTTTCTAAATATACATTTCTATAACTATATACAAACTTTTATAAAATATTGACAATATTCACATCTTTAGACAACATTAAATGAAACAACTGAAATATTGAAGTATTTTTGTTAACAAATGTGGTAGAAATGTTTTTTTTCTAATTTCAATAAAAAGAACAGACTAAAACAAAATTATATTCGTCTTCTATTTTATCTAAGTGACAGAACTTTCATTCTATATTTACCCATCTACAACTTTCTACCTTTAGTTTCAAAATAGGAGGCCTACCCAATCTAAATTTTGGGAAAATTCGTTTATATTTAAAATTAATATTTTGTAAAAGTATTCATATACTTCAAACATATGCTTTAACATTTTGTAATATCTACATTTGGAATACGAATGTATCTTTTATTTATTTATATTTTATTTTCTATTATTTTTATTTTTATTTCAAATCACACCCAAACAGCGGATAACCCGCCACTTACAGAATGGATTAATAGATAGATAGATAGATAGATAGATAGATAGATAGATAGATAGATAGATAGATAGATAGATAGATAGATAGATAGATAGATAGATAGATAGATAGATAGATAGATAGATAGATAGATAGATAGATAGATAGATAGATAGATAGATAGATAGATAGATAGATAGATAGATAGATAGATAGATAGATAGATAGATAGATAGATAGATAGATTATTGTATGATATATTCTTGTATGGACGCACTTGCAAACATTAAGCATTAGAAGACAAGTTTTGAATTTTGCCTCACTGTTGATTGTGGCAAAATCACTCTGCATTCCAATTGACTGACACTGCAGTACGTGTGTGGATGTCTGCACCGCACCACATTGGCAGAGATTGGAGTCTGAGAGGCCGATGCGCTGCATAAATGCCTTGTACCTGCCATGTCCAGAGATTAGTCTGTTCAGTTGAACCCAGTATGCTCGTGAAGATCATGGTCTGTTGGTTGGTTTAGCGATGAACTGACGCAGTTGGCAGTCCACCTGTTGCCAGTGACTGGTCCAGTATCTCCAGCCATTTGTTTAAGCTCATGAACAGTTGGGAGAGTGGATAGTGGGATTTTAATCTACTGATATCAAAAATAACAAATATCAAATGATAGGCCGTTCGCGATAGTAGAACGCGCAATCCGAGTGGCGGCGCTATATATTTGAGTGGTTGGATTCATTAGTTTCTCCATTCCATAAAACACGGACGTTCCATCAAATTTAATGCAAACACGCGAAGAGCTCATTCTTCTGCTATTTATGTTCTTTGCTGATGTTGAAAACCTTCCACATTCACCCATAACCGACTCTTTGGGTGACGATTTTCCAATGCCTAAAATATACCTACAGAATTTGATCTGTAATTTATCAATATGTTTGAGAATATTTAATCCCAATGTTTCACTGCCATATAAAATAATTGGGATAAACTGTTACATGAAACAGACGATTCCAAATACCAACTGTTATATGACAAAATTTGTTTGTATCACATTTTCAGGTGCAATGAGTCCTTTATCTCCTTGCGAACAATTTATGTATCTCGCTTTTTCCCACTTTCCTGTGGAGTTAAAAGTGACACCTAGATATTTGGATGACCTAACTATTTCAAAATTTATATATTTTCACCTTTCATATCTTTTGAGTTTCTTTTACTTTTTCAACCTTTACTATTAAACCAACCCGTGTATTACAATAGTATGCTAATTTAATTAACAAATCTTGTAAGGCATATACTGTGTCACTAAACAACACGAGATCATCTGCATATGACAAATGGTTAACATATAAATCATCAATTTAGATGTTATTTATATTAGTCCCTGGGTTACACCTGTCATCAAAAGAATTCCTAAATGGGTACGGGAGAAAAAAAATGTAGCTTTAATATTACCAATTGGATTACCAATATTCTTGTAGAGATTTGGGCCAATGTCTGCGAAATAATTATTCATTTTGATGGAGATAAGGAAAGGATCTGTTATTTTGACGTTGTCGTTAAAATAAGGAGGAGGGCAGTTAATTTATTTCTATGTTTAATATATTTTTCTCGGTCTTTGTTTACCTGCTTTGAGATATTTTTTGTAAAGTTTATTTCGATTATCAATTGATTTAATCATACCATTGGTAATCATTGGTAATCAATTTGTATAAGCACGATTAGGATCATTGGTTACACGGTATATGTCTGACCAGTCTGTGTTAATATGGTCAGCACTTAATGCGGCTATGGATTTTTTTAATTATCATTTAAAAATCAAATTTAGAATTAGAAAGTGTGGAATTGGAGTTTGGAAATCTGTGTGTTAATGAAAATACAGGAAAATGATCTAATATCTGAGTACATGATGCCAGAAGAGATTGTAACGCTTATGTTATTGCAAAAAATGTTGTCAATAATGTAGCAGTTTTGGTTGTGACAAGGGTAGGTTTTTGTTAATCAAAGGATAAAATGAATGTTTAAACATGGCAGTAACAAATTCTGATGCAAGTCCTTGAGTATTAAATTTCAATAAATCAATGTTGAAATCACTACAAATATATGCGACTTTGTTTTCGTTGTTAATCGTCTGGAGTTACTGGGCAATTTGTAGATTAAATTAATTGAGAGATAATTCCTGTAAGACGATATACAACACCAAAAATAATGTCTTTGGAGTCCATTTTAATTTCTATACATATTCTGACTTGATGGATAAAATTGAACTTAGGTCAGGTCGATTGATGTGTTGTAACCTCTGGTCCAAGTATATAGCGGCACCCCCCTCCCGTTCGACTGGTTCTTGATGAGTGGAATAAATTATAACCATCAATATTAAAAAATGAAAAATTAGTTTTCTCTGTATTAAAGTAAAGATCAGAGAAATCTAACCTTAACGCGGTAAACAAATCAGTTACTTCAGAAAACGTTTAGATAAACTTTGAGCATTATGATAAAATACACTAAAAGATGGTTGAATATTTAATAATTTGGTATTGAAACTGTCCACGTGTTCGTAGTCACATTGTAAATTAGTATTCATATGTGAGCCATTCCCATCGCAAGTAATTCCATTTAGAGAAAAACATCAAAAGGATTAAGGAGGTATTTTCGATAATGTAAAGTGTTCTTTGGAATATCGTTAGTAATATCAATACAATGTTCACCGGGTGATTGTTGTATGCTCACTAACCTGGTGTTGTTTCGTCTGGAGAAGCGTTCCCTATTATTTTCAGATGACAGGTAGTTAATTGTTCTAGCATGCTCTCTATTACGGTTACAATATTTGATAACATTGATTCTCTAGCCTTGTCATTAGATTCAAGCACCAGGATCCTTGCCGCATTATTTTCGATAGCTTGGCTTAAATCTTCCCTTATTTGCGTTGCGTTGGGCCTTTTCATAGATTTTTTTTTTCAAGATAATCGATAAGCTTATTTTTGAACTATTTCATTTTGCTTCTTTTGTTTATAATGTTAAGCTACTAATGTAATGTACTGTAGTTAGATTTATATAGCGCTTTATACCGAAACTGTCTCAAAGCACTCGAGAGGTGTGGACCAGCTCTTACAGTACCGTAGTTTGCTTCTCCCCTAGGTCTCTTCATGTTTGAGCTACCCGCTTAAAAAACCGCAACCCAGCTACTCTCGCCTGTCCACAACAACAGGGTTCTATGGCCCAGTACACCGGGGTAACCCCCTCGTCTCAAAAGATGTACTGGGTTCTTTTAAGTGTATACGAGGCATATTGTGTACACTGGGTTATACAGTTTATATACAGTGCTTATCCGAGAAGATTTGTTCCACCACTGGAACCAAAGGCAAGAAGCTTGCCGTTCGATCCGGCGCCGATATTATGGCCGTAGGTTGCGGCGCCCCTGCCTTAACATCACGACCATCTAACTAGGGCCACGAAGTGATGTATTCTAAAATAGATCTTACATTAACCTGTGCAAACAGAAATTAAGTCGCCAACTAGAAGGTCAAATTTCTTCAACTGGTTAAGCATATAAAGTCTCGTACTGCTCAGGAGGTTTACCTGCTGGTACCATTTCAGATTTTTCTGAACTTTAAGGTAGAATTTTAGTACTCAACTTTTCCAAAACAATTCCATCAATGGTAATGACAGGTGCATGAGGATTTACAACCTATTGATTTGGATACATCATTGAAAGCCCACCTGGTAATAAACCCTTCACAAGTTTTACCAATATGAGAGGTAAGTAAAATTGGAGTTTAGAAGGATATAAATAATAATACAAACAATTTCATACAGATAAAAATAATAAAATTTAAAAAAATAAAAAATGCATAGATGCAGTGAATCAAGGTATACAATTCAAAAACAAAGCAACATAATAAATTTGCATTAAACTAAGATAGACTTAATTCAGTTACACCCCCATATACCCACCCCTCCCAACTCCCCTCCATATATTAATTACAGTTTCATGCATTCTAGTGTAACAAATGTAAGGTATGAAGTAAATAAATACACAGTAGCAAATAAGTTAGAAAAAAGGTTAACAAAATGAAGCAACTAAAACTAATAAATAATACTACTAATCAATATTCAAAATGCAACAATACAAGAAATAATAACATATTTATATTAAACTGATGTAGACTTAATTTCTGATCATTTGCACCATGCCATCTTGGCTCAATTCTTACAAAACTTGTCAAAGGCTCTAAGAACATCCTCACTAAGTAATGTATTTTCACCTCCAAGAACGAAATTGAGTTGTTTTTTTTTTTATCAAGGTCCGATGATTGAAATATTTTCCAGATATTAATTACAGTTATTTGATAATTCCAGGTTTTTTTTTTTTTTTTTAGATCATTAAGTTCTTTAAATCGTATATCATCAAACACACTACAACTGAAAAGAAAATGTTTTAACATCTTCAACATCACCATTATTACACAATGTACATAACCCTGTGGTGTCAGCTGACTATTTACTTGTTCTTCTATCCAATTGCAATGTGTTTGATCTCAATTTGAATTTCAAACTAGCCCCTTAAAATCTAACATATCAAGAAGATACCATTCCAAGCATGGGGTACATTCAAGCTTGGCATAATCAACCAATGAAGATTTACTATTAAGGTTTTCTAGCCATTGTTTTTTGATAGATCAGATATATCTTTCATAACATTAGTAAGATGATGAACATTTAATAGTCAAGGACATTTTCAAAGAAATGGTGACCACCTTAGTTCGCCATAAAGGGCTGCCTGTGGTGTGCAGCGTGGGGCCTTAAGGATATGTCTGGCCATTTGCATTTGTAGGCACTCTAACTTATCATTATCATTTGAGGTATTACACCAAGTTGCACAAGCATAGTTAATAGATGGTAGAGCATAGTCTTCCATAAAATGTTACCATAATAAACGCGATTGAAATCGTTAAAATTGTCAATGATTGCCTTTATATATGCAATTAGGCGTTTTCCTTTTTAATGACATATTCATAATGAGAAAGTTCACTCAGGTTACATGATAGATAGGTTCCAAGATATTTGTAATTATCTACCTCTGAAATGTACTTATCGCCAAGTTTCCATTTTTTCTCTCTATTCACACGTTTACCGATTACCGTAACATTTGATTTATTATAGTTAAATTCTAATTTCCATTCTTTAGTAAATTTGCCAGCGACGTCCAACATTTTTGACATATCAAACTTGTTTTCAAAAATAAGTACTACATCGTCTGCCCATAATAATCCCACCCCACCATCCAGACACCTTTAATTCTTACACCTAATTCACTATTACGGAGGAGTTTTGTAAGTTCATTAATAAAAAAACATTGAATAAAATATGTGGTAAAACACAACCTGGTTTAACACCTTGTCTAACCTCAAATGATTCAGTTAGTGTATTTCCAACTTTAACTTTTGCTGTTACATCATCATATAAATTATCTATAATTTTCCAGATTTTCCCTCCAATTCCAGCATCCCAGGTGGCTTTAAGGAGGCCATCTCTCCAAACACTATCGAATGCTTTTCTAAAGTCCTGGAAGCCAGATGGGTGGTTTTACCTTCTTTTAAACGACATGATAAGGTTTAATAGTAAAAATGTGATCCTCACATCAATGGTTAATGATCTAAATCCGCCCTGGACTTCCGAGAGTAGATTCTCTTCTATATCAAATCGTATTGTAGTAGTATAGCGCCCTCATGTGTTTCCTAAGTCTCCTCAACTTTTGCTTATGAACTCCCCCTGAACAACCAATTTGTTTTTCACATTTCCATGGAAATTGAACTCAAACAGGATCAAATTGTATTTACAGCTGGGTGGGAAATATTCCCTCAGACTGAAATTATAGTTAGTGAATTCTACCCCGGGATCGAATTTTATAAGGAAATCCGAATTTACTGGGGTGTGCGGGAAGAATCTCTTTCGGCTGAAAATGCGCCGCAAGAAGTAGGCCTATGCCTAATAATAATTTACTGTATTTATTCGAATTTTTGAGGGGGCGTTATTCGAGGAAGGCGTTTATTCGAGGAGCGTTTATTCGAGGAGCGTTTATTTTTTAGGTGTAAAATGGATATGTATATACAGTACTCAAATAAACGGCTCTTAATTTCACTGTAATGGAACTACAACACAATAATTACCGTCAAAATGTCTATTGGGCGATCATAAAGAGTTAATGGTCCCAACCAGTTTAGAAAAATATAATTCTACTGGAGTAAAACATAAATAGAATGTTGAGAATGATGTTGCTTCCATTAGTTTTGTTTACAGTCATATATTTAGGGGGCCAGGGGAGCATTTATTCGAGGAAAAAATAAACGGCGTTGGGCTATTCTTAGTGTATACACCGAATAAATACAATTCATATAGCCAATGCTTTCTTCCGTAGATGATTGTGTTGGCTCCAAGACTTTGTCATTCATGGGTTTTAAGTCAGCTTCTGTATTTGAAATCCTAATTCGAAACTTTTAAATACCGGGATGGTGTCCGGCGAGGTTCTACAGACCGGCCATAGATAAGTGACTTGTTTTTACAAATACGTAGGCCTATCAACATTGAAAATCCCAACCTATTATTATATTGCGCTCTATCTATATAAATAGGCAAACTTTTATATTATATTATATTTTATTATATATATATATATGTGTTATATATATATATATATATATATATATATATATATATAATATATATATATACAGTATATATAGGCCTATATGTATGTATATATACTATTAAATACAGTAATTAAAATACTGTACATATCTTTTGCAAACAAATGAGTTACTGTCTTTGTTTTGCTACTGTCAATTTAATCGACTTCCTATCAGTACTCACTACCTCCATTGAAGGCCTCTTCAATTGAGGAGGAAACCAAAAAGATTGAATGAATCATACGACGATGTGACGTAATCGTCGTTGAGGGGGCGCTTTAAAACTCAGCAAGCAGCAGCAAGTGTGGCGGCGGCCGTGTGGTTTGTGAACGGCGGAAGAGAAGTTGGCATTTTTAATTTAAGGAGAATAGAAAAGGCGAATATTGAACACGTTCCACACACTCTACCATTTATATGTCAAAATGTCTACAGATAACAACGACGTAGAAAACTGGCCTGAAATACCGGGATATTGGGAAGTTACAAAATCAGCATTTTTACTTTTAAAACACGAGCTAAACGGAAATTCGCACGGAAAAGATTTTATTTCAGAAATCGAACATTGTTGTAGCCTGACTACCGCAGAAGTAAGCATTGTGTTATTGGGTGCAGTATTATTTACCATCGGTCGCTTTGTAACAAGCAAATACATATTTATTGTAAGTATTATTGGAAATTCATGTCCTTTATATATATATTTTTTATGTAATTGACATTGGATTATCTGGACCATTTATTCAAATGAAATTCAGTGTGTATTGAAGATGCATGTGTCTGTAGACCTCTCATCTGACCGGTCTCTTTTTTGTACTCCATCACCTTATTCATTGTTCATTCATTGTTGAAACCGACGTTAATCAGTTAGTTATGATTAAAACAGTAAAGAATATAATGTAGGGCTATTGTATTTAACGCTCAAAACACGATTTATGAATATCAGAGTGTCTTTATCCAAAGAGAAAAGTGCTGTTTTTAAGATGTTTTCTAACCCCTACTCTCGCTACCGTAAGTAGGAGGAGGAGAAGAAGCAGTGGCGGCTAGGCTTGGCCCCAGACTGTCAGGCTTGTGTCATGTGTGATTAAACATTGGTCATTGTGTCTCCGAACAGTGTTTGCTTCTACTCGCACAGTACAATGCTTTATTATTGATTATTCATGATACTACTGCAATACACAGTATACATACACTGCATGCCTTACCAATATCTAAACATTGACATTTGCTGAACTACTGTGGCCTAGCTTAGTATTATTATCGACATATAAAAATATGTAAGAGAAATCCAATTTTTTGATAACAATATTTGGAGCAAAGGCCTTAGTTCAGTTGTATTGAATTGACTGTGAACTCCCAAGAATATTATTTTTTCCTATTTTCGATGTCAGGCTTTTCACTACATGTATGAAGGCCCAGTCTATGTCAGGCCATATTATTTTGAAGTATAGGCTCATTGACATTTTACATTTTTGGTGGGACCCTTTCATTTCTGTACTCAGAATGTACATTCTTTTCTTATGTCGAATTTCTAATAAATTAAATGAATAATAAATCAACTCAAGTAGGCCTCTGCTACAGTGCACCACTGAATGGTTTACTGTGATTCATAGAATTTTAATTATTGGAACAATTCTGTTACCAGCAGCTCAACATTAATTAATATTAAAAATCTGTCCAAATATAAACAAGTTAGTTAATATTTAACTTAAAAAATACAATGATTATTCTCAATATTAATAATAATAATAATAATAATAATAATAATAATAATAATTATAAGAATACAAAGAATAAGAATAATACAGTAATAAATATTCTGGATTTATGAAGTGCCTAAATCATCATTACGGAACCTGTGTTAAAAGGGATGTAATTGGCAAGTACATGTACATGATTTCAGTAGTAGTAGTATACATTTTAGTAAAAATTACTGGCAGTGACCTTTTACTGTATTACTACTGTAAGCATAAACTGTACTATACCGCACACTAATTTCAAACCAGGAAGCAATGAGAAAAAAAAAATGAAATTGGTGAGGATTTTAATTCCAATATAGGGAAGTATAAAAATCTGTATTGTACATTCCCTGATAAAGCGATATCAAATAATGGGTTTCCAATTTCTATTATAATTCAGGTGAATCAGAACGGCATTCCAAAGTTATGAATCATGATGTGTACCTGTTCCCCTTGATGTCATTAACCTATCTGTAGACATTGAGAAAACTTTTCATTTAATTGTCTAGTTTCTTGGTGTAGGTGTTGCCTTCATGGGAAAATTTTGGTGATGAGAAATTTATTGTTGCAATCCTATAACAACTCATTGGTATTGTAAACTAAGCATATTAAGAGCTCATTAAAAGCAAATGGTTCATTATAGATTTGCCAGTACTATAAAATATTCATACTGGACTTCTCCACATTTTAAATGATAGAAAAGCAATATAATTTATGTTAATTTTTTAACTCATGGCCCGTGTATTATAAACTGTATTTGTTTCAGTACTGAAATATTTTCAGTCCTATTTTTAGTTCCTATATAAATGCAATAAGGAACTATTGTAATCACTCTTCACTGTTTTTCCTGTGTGTAGTGTGTGTGTGCGTGTGTGTGTTGACATTTATGCAAATGCACATGCGTAAAAGAAAAGTTTTCCAACATTTTGTTTTACCTCGCCATGCAAAGTTCGATGTGAAGTTTCTGCAGTGTTCAGTCAGACGGGTGACAGACGATTGGGCCCAACTGGTGTGGACGATCGGGCCCAAGCTATTTTCAAGTAAATTGTAGTCTAATAGGCAACTGCCAGCTCCCCCACTCCCGATATCGTTCCAAACTACTGTAAAATGAAAATACTGTATACCTAATGTAGCTAGGCCTAAGCCCTAGGCCTACAAAAATTTTTCAAAGAAATTTGCTAAAAATATTACTGTAATTTGCCTATCAAATTACATTACCAATGTGGTCTAAAATCACTATTTTGGGTCATAAAGACTCCCCCTGAATTTTTCAACCACCACACAAATTTGACCCATCAGTACATCTTGAATATAAACGTTCAATGTAAATTATAGCCTAAAAATAATTATTTATTTCCTGGAAAAATTGATTTGATAATTAATTTAGCGTATAATACAGACATTATATCCTGTTTCTCAAACCTCAAAAATATGATTTTCCAATACCAAGTGTGTTTACAGGTATATACACCATTTTCACCAAATTTGAAATGAAAATTTCTGATAACCTGGCAACTACCATTGGGGGACTTCCAGAAGCCTGGCATTTCAACTCTGCCTAGTTACCATTCATTAAATAATTAAATGATAAAAGTGAATTACTAGAATAATTTAAAATGAAAACAAAAATAACGAAATGTTTATATTAAAAAAAGGTCGTAAGTCTTAAAAGCTGTTTCAATGTGTACATCATGATCATATGTGTTGTCTGCTTCTGCTATAGCAAAGGTAAAGCGCCATGATCCGCAGTGCAGTGCTCTATATATATTTGCAACTAGCCAGCTGCTCAGGCTAGGCCGCTGAAAGTCCCCCAGTGAGTGTGAGACATTGGAGGCGCTGTTTCAAAATACAGTAATCCTGATAAATTGGTCTATAAATATAGTACAATAGAAAATTTCCTTTGAGACATCACTATTCACAAGACTTTGTAAAGTGTCCTCAGTAATAGGGGCTGTGCTGTAAATTTAGATAATAAAAATCAAATAATACAGTATACTGTATTTATTTGGGGCGTTTAATATTGAAGGTTTTTATTTTGAGGGAGGTGGAGGAACATTTGTTGAGGGAGCCGTTTATTTATTTTTTTTTTTATTCAAAAAAATGCCCCATAATTTCACTACAACCCATACTGTAATTACCGTCAAAATGTGTTATTTCATGAATAAAGACTTATTGATCCCAACCTAGAGTACAGTACAGTATATTATAAAATGTTTTGAGAATGATGTTGCCTCAATGGTTTACAGTAATTTGGGGGAGGGGATATTTGTTTACTCGAGGAAATATTTAATGCCCTGGGGCATTTATTTGAGGGATGCATTTATTTCAAATGAGGTTCTAGATGGGGGGAGTCGTTTATCCGATGGTGATGGGAGAGTTTATTCAAAGCGGGTGTTTATTCAGATAAATACCCTAAATTACTGTAAGTGAGGATGTCCCTGTCTGTCCTTTGAGTACTACAGTATACTATAAGTACTAACTACTGTAACTGCTTTTTTTGTTCAACAGTTTTCAGCTAAGAGGAAATAGCCATTCAGGATTTAAATGATAATTAAAAATTTCTTCCTTTGTTACTTAAATAATTTGATACCATTAACTGTAGATTAACCAAAGGAATAAATTTCATTATCAGGTTTTAGCTGATCATATTCCTAATAAAATTTCAGAAGTCAAACTATTAAGTATCAAAATTGTTTTCATTGATAAATTAACAGTAGAAGTAAACGTCCCCATATTTACATTAATACTTAATTAACAGCTATACACCGGTAGGACCAAATCATGCCCATTTGGGCAGAATGAGTACTTGCCTGTCTGGTGAGAGTGATGAATCACCAAAGCAAAATTTCAGGCCTGTAGTAATAAGCATGTGTGAGAAAAGACAAGACAAGAAATGTTATTGAAAGTTTAAATATTACACAACAGAAAGTAAAAATAGCAAATATCAACAAAAGTCAATTATTATTACGATGAAAAGCGTCTGAATTAAAATGAAATGTAAACATAATGTAGAAAACAGTATTTTGCTAAAGATATAGAATACCGCAGTCGTGTCGTCGCGTTCATTACGCCTGAATGGTTGCATAGGCTTTCTGGAATAGGGATTTTAAAATCTAATATTTTACCATCAAAATGTACTAAAAACACAAAGCTCACGTTATACGTGTCACGAACACACATTTAATCATCAATTAAAATTTAAAAAGAAAAAGTAAGATACAACATCTAAATAATCACGTTAGAAATTGGGATCAATGGTTTGTTAGTGGCGAAAATGGCATCGGATTGAACGCATTGTGCAACGATAGCAACGGAGTAGTATCATGTGGTATCATTATGTACTGTAACACCACATACTGTAGTACTCTATAGGCAAACAACTCTGTTCACTAAACAATCAATCGCACACTGTATTACAGGTAAAAAGTTATTTTTAGCATATTGGCATTCTTTCCATGCAGTACAGTAACACGCATATTGAACATTGCTGAATTGGTGGCATACGAACTATCAGTGTCTGACCTTGTGTCTGTCGTGCGAGCCTAGGTATTTGTGGGAACAATTTCAGCTGATTTTACTTTTACTAGGCAACTGGCAGTACTGGCAACTTTTTTATATTTTTATTTTAAGTGTATTTCAAGGCAGTTTATTCCCATTTCATGGTAGACTTTGGTGCAATTAATGTCTACAGTGCCATTGATATCGAACAATCAAATTTCTAAAAGATCATGTAGTAGCTTCTGAAAATGTGCCAGTAAACCCCCAATCTTGCACCCTGATACTTGGCCCGCTGTACCCCTACAGTATGAGATCCATGGCCCCTGCCCTTGGGCCTGGGAGATTGGCAGCCCCTGTGACCAGGAGCAGTGTTGGCAGCCCTAATCATACTGTACCTTGCACGATCCTCATAATGGACAACTGGAGAG